TGACATTTGCTAAAAACAGGAAGAAAAAAAAATCAAAATTCCACTTATGCTGGATTTTTTAAACACAAAGGGAAAAAAGAAGCAAGTGTCTCTGGCACAAGGTCACCCTCTGTTCAGGAACTTCATTATGGAATGTTAGGTTTTGCATGGAAAAAGCAGGGTGGGTAGGGAGGGGTTAATGCTAGAAAGAAGGGAAGATAAATAAACTTTTCCTACAAAACATTTTGGGTTTTCACAGGATTTTAAAACAGGGGAAAAAATTATTAACATATTGCCTATCAACTTTATCTCAGTTTCCATTCAGAAATTAATTTCCATCCTAAGATAACATTGTCACCTTTGATAATACATTCTTGCAAGTCGCTCTAGATGTCTCATTACTATTATCTAATCACATGGCAGAAAAGATATTATTTCTAAAAAATTTATTCTTACCACCCATACTTTAATGTGGAAAAAGCCTAAAAAAAGAATAAAAGCCAACACTAGAGTATGAGACACCAACCACTTGCACCTTTTGCTATTTATCATCCACATGCAACAGCTCTGACCAATGCAAGTAGTGATCAGCCACAACTTTTGCCTGTATAATAGTAAGTTTAAATAATCCAGACATAGAAAAGTAGTATTTGGGAATATATGGGCTCAAATTACTGGTCTGATTGAAGGTGCTTGCAGCTAAAGCACCTGCGCTTATTTCCTCTTGGAAAGCAGCAGATGCTCAAGCAGCAGTTGCTGAGAAATCACCCTCATTGGCAATGCACCAAAACTCTCAGAACCTCCTGGCAAGACCAATTAAAGCAGGTCTTCAGATCCATAACTGAGCAGCTTTACTAATAAAATCACAACCTTCAAAATTAGCACCTCTGACACCACAGCCAGAGAATAACTGCCCTAACCAATCTGTCCTTCAGTTAGCTTGGACTATCTTCAATTAAAAGGCTCTCTCAGCAAAAGAGAAGGAGCCCTGCTTCATTCGGGAACAAAAACATCAGGGAGAAGATAAAAAACTGCCCTTAGGTAACCAGTGAAAGTCAGATGTCTGGTTTCTACCAAAGTAGGAGCTGAAAATAGCAAAAAACAAAAATAAAGAAAGAAATCCCAACACTTTATTATCCCAACACTTCATTAGACAAAAGCCCCAGTATGCTGTCTGGAATGGAATTTAAAAAAAAAGAGATTGAGAAAAAGTCTTTATCAGGGTAGTATGAGATTGGAGGGGAATCTAGGGGTGTGTGAGAGAGAGAGAGGCTGTACAAACATGACAAACTGTGTCCAAAACAATCTGTGCTCTTATTAATCATAGTTCTAAAATGATAAAAAGACCCTCTTTTGGAGCGAAAACAGTCATCTCTGTCACATGCTCCATTATGGAAAGGATTTATGCGGTTTCCTCTTAGCAATGTATGCTAACGCTTGAAAAGTTGCACATATTTTACTGTTCAAAGCCCTCTTACGGCAACTACCATACACTACAGCCCTAATCCACATTTAAGAATTAACAGACACATTGAAGAAAGAGCAGTAGGGAGTTTTGCTCCAAAATTATTCACTACAATCAAAAGCTGAAAGTTAAATAAAGCAAAGATACTGGTTTCAATTCAAAACTGAGATTAGACACCGGATTCCTTTGCTCTAATGTTGGCAAGTTTCCACCAAAATTACTTGTAATATGTTGCAGAAACCATAAACACATAGTATTTACAGCAAATCTCCACTTTTTACCTTTAAAAACTAGGTCTATATTTGTAACAAAATTTGGACTCTAAGCGTTAATAGCGCTGAGGTGAATTTGTACCACTTGAATGCTTTTTACAGCCTGCCCTTATGTTAAATCAAGGCCCCCACCAGGGAAGTTGGTAGTTATAGCCTCTTCAGTTTCCTAAAAAGAAAAATAAAGCTTGTGTTTCATTCTTGTTGATTTCAGGTGGACAAAAGGCCATGGGTACCCAAGACAGTGCTGAATCCATTTTTCTCTGTTTTGACTGAAGAGGCAATGACTTAATTGACACCACTGACCTCATTACTGTACACTTACTTGTATCTCTGGCATAAAAGGTGCTCCGCAAAAGCAAATTCTATTTCGTAACACACGAGTCAAGACTTTATGAGCTCCTACTTCATACACAAACACCACATACCACTGAACTAGCTAATCTTCTTCTTCCTTATTTACCTGTAGAAATAGCTTGTCTATCTGTTCAAAAAGACACCAGAGATGTTGATTTACATGACATCCTGATGAAATTAGACTCTGCTAATGACCAGATTACTTCAATTTTGGCCCAGTGTCTCCATCAGGCCCTTTAAAGAGGAACTGGAGTTTTCCTACACACTTTACAAGGCTCTTTTAAAATGTGCAGTATTTCCATTTGCCAACTGGCATTTTTTCAAGGCAATCCTGGTTGAGTCATAACATATACAAATAGGAAGAAACACAAAAAGAGTTCAATAAAAAGAAATCTACCAGGAGAGCAAAGATTGTATCATGACCTCGAGTATTTCAACGAGTACTCACTGAAAAAAAGAGATCTCTAATTCTGGGCTTGACACTTCACAGCAAAGGAATCAACCGGAAGACTTCCCATTTGTTGCAAGGCTACATGCTGTAGCACACGATAGCAAATGATTACTTGAAAATTATTTGGGAGGGGGGTGGAATTTCGAAGCAGTGAGAGATGCAAACATCCAAGTGTGAATTTTGGTTGCAACTGAACAGGAATAGTAATGAATGTAGTAAAATCTACCATAAAAGCAGAGTCTTCACTTCTTTTTCCGCTACAACTTTCCAACACCACAGTTATAAAACCACACAGGTTTATGACAAAACAGAGAGTACTTTTATGATCCTGTGTCTTTAACTACCATGCTGAGGAGACACATAGATACTGCTCACCAAAACTATGGATGCAATTTATCCTTCCCTAGATTCTCCCTTGCAGCCTTCATTTAAATCCTTAAATTGATTCTTAACCCCACAACACGGGAAGAACTTTCTTGGAGACAATTCCTGATCGTGGAGGAAAATGGGTCTCTCTTGCTGTGCTGAGCAAGAGGAGGGTTTCCCAGTCCCAGGAGAGCACTTGGGG